CGGGCTCAGGCAATTCACTCGCCTCGGCCTCCCAAAGTGCTGGGATTACTGCCACCAAGCCCGACCAAAAAATATAGTTTATTTAAAAGTAAATTAGAGAGAGAAAAAGAGAAGATTCACCTCCCCAAGGTTGGGGAAGGGGCCAAAGCCAGGAAGCATGGTGATAATCATAGTTCAAAGAGCACGTGGTCACACCAGAGTCTAGCAAGGCAATGGCCCCCAAATGTTTTTTGGGTTTTTTTTTGAGTTGGAGTCTCACTCGTCACCCAGACTGGAATGCAGTGGCCGCTCCTGGCCACTGCAGCCTCAACCTGCTGGGCTCCTGCGATCCTTCCGCCTCAGTCTTCCAAGTAGCTGGAACTACAGGCAGGCGTTACCACACCCGGCTAATTTTTTGATTTATTGTAGAGATGAGATCTCACCAAGTTGCCCGAGCGGGTCTCGAGCCCGCGGGTTCAGGCAATCCACTCACCTCAGCCTCCCAAGGCGCAGGATTATAGGCTGAGCCACTGAGCCCGGCATCCCCAAATATTTTTATCCAACTATGCAAACACTGTACACAAACATTTCTGGCTCCAATGGGCCTTCACTACACTGACACTTATGTGACCCACAAGGCAATCATTACCAAAAAGCTTATGGATATTAATAGAAGCCAGTACATAATGTTTGAAGATTTTGTCATCATTGGGCATAAACTAATTTTTTTTTCTGATTGCAAAAAAAAATACATGCTCATCTGGAAAATTCAGACCTTGCTGAAATATACAAATGATTCAAACATCAAAGTTAAATATTCACCATATTAGGACAGTGGTTCAAAAGAAAGTAGGGGTCTTGGGATTTGACAGGCTTTGCAAGCATAAAGAACGCTTCCCCTTTTCAAAGAGCTAATTTGCAGGAGAAGGGGAATCTTGCCTGATAGCCAGGTGTATATAGTAACCCTTAAATTATCTATAAATGTCTCACTAAGAGAGAAATCTACTAAACTACATGTATAAGAAGGGTCAATAAGTTCATTGTTTCTTTAGGAATGAACTGAACTTATATGGATGCCCAGGTAGGCCCCTTGGGACAACTTTTAATGTTAGACCAGAGTGCAAATAGCGGATCTGAATGTGACTGTCCAATCTCAACCATCTATCTGCATTTTGAGATGAAGAACAAGGGTCAGGATCCTCTCTTCAGGATTTCTCTTTCTTATCCAGCCATATTTGCTCCTCAATTCATGGTCCATGGAAAGACCCATCAGCTCAATAAAAGCCATCTGGTCCTGCTCTACCTGACCCTATAAAGACAGCACTAGACTGTGGAAAACTGTGGACTTTCCCACTTACTACCTGGGAGCAGCTCTGACTCAGGCCATCCCTCCACGTTCTCATTCATGGATGAAGGCAGTGCACCTGGTCTCTCTCGATTATAGAGTCATCTGGAGACTACAGTGAGGCCAGGAATGAGAAAATGCTTCTTAAACACTTCCTGCAGTGCATGCAGGCTAGAGGGCGAGGTGAGCACTCCTCACCGCTTGGGTATTTGCTTTGGTTGAGAGGAATTGTTCTGAGGTGGAGAAAAGTGCACTCTGAAGCCTCAAATCTTAAAAAAAGGAAACTAAATGGCTCAAACCGATGCCAGATTTCTTTATAAGCAGAATATGATAGAAAATGAACTTGACCTACTGAGCTGGCTGAGGGACATCTGGGTTTCAAATCCTTCCTATCCTATCTCTCCTTGAGAGAAAGAAAGAAAACAAAGAAAGAAGGAAGGAAGAATCGAAGGCAGAGACAGACGGAAGGAAGGAATGACGGAGGTGGAAGGAATTATGCCTTGAAGAACAACACAGTTAGAAAGGTCATGGCCGGGCTCGGTAGCTCAGCCTGTAATCCCAGCACTTTGGGAGGCCGAGGTGAGTGAATTGCCTGAGACTGCGGGTTCGAGACCCACCCGGGCAACTTGGTAAGACCTCATCTCTACAATAAATCAAAAATTAGCCGGGCATGGTAGCGCGCGCCTGTAGTTCTAGCTACTTGGAAGGCTGAGGCGGAGGGATCACCAGAGCACAGCAGGTTGAGGCTGCGGTGGCCAGAAGCGGCCACTGCACTCCAGTCTGGGGGATGGAGTGAGACTCCAACTCAAAAAAAAAAAGAAAAGAAAAGAAAGGAGAACATAACTTGGGGACAAAGGCACTCAGTGAAAAAACGTGTTTGTCCAATTTCTCCTGCCAGCCCGAGGTCCTTTATGGTGGGACTAGAGCTTATTAATCTTTATGGGTGCTACTCTTTGTAAAGTATGTGTCGCATCCTAGAAACCATTTAGAATAAGCCATATAGCACTACCTTTTTTATTATTATTTCTTTTACCTAGAGACAGGGTCTCACTATGTTGCCCAAATAGGTCTATCTCCTGGCCTCAAGCCATCCTCCTGCCTCGGCCTCCCAAAGTGCTGGAGTTACAGGTGTGAGCCACCACACTCATCCTATTACCATTCTTATGGACCAAAAACAGTCTTGTGTTGGCAATGTCATAGGTAGATAAAGTGCAAGAGACCTGAGGGTCACGTTCATTCAGTCAGCCTTAACCCCTGTTCCCTCATAACGCCGCCCCACCTCCAGCCCCCTGCAGAGACATGGGGCTTCTCTTTTACGTCTGTAAGAGTCACGCCTCTCTTTGAAGACTGACCGCGGTGTTCCCTGAAGCCTGGAAATTTCTAGATACTAAGTACACGCCGTACTAGCCTCTCCTTCTTACAGTCTTCATACTGCTAACCAAAGGGCCTCATTATGGCCCTAATTTAAATTCCTATTCATTCGAGGGGCAAAATACACTCTAGTCAAACAAAATGGGCCTTCTTCATTAGGGTGTTATACAAATTTTTTTCTTTCCCTTTTTCCGCTCTCCTTTCCTCTCCATCCTTCCTCCCTCCCTTCCTTCCTTCCTTTCTTCCAATCATTCCTCCCTGCCTTCCTTCCCCTCTTCCTCCCTTCCCTCTCCTGGTAAGATAAGAAGACATTTCCTCCTGTTCTGTGCAGGAAGTCTTAGTGAAGCCTTAGGCCTTCAGGCTGGCAGGAAATACAGCCGAGTGATCGGGCATGGCGTCAGGTTCCTGGAGAGAACACCAGGCTCCTGCGTCCTTCCTAAAGCCCTCATGACACTGAGCATTGCACAGAGACCACAGTGAGTGAGATGCATGCGAATCTAGTGGATCTCGAGTTGAGGTCGTGAACTTCCATTTCTCCTTCCGTATATTTGTTGCTTGTATTTATTTCTGTCTGAGAAATGAAGTCTGCGGTGTTGGGCTCAGTGATAAGACTGCAGAATGTTCGTTCTGCACGTCATTGGTTTTGCATCGGATTATGTCATTGACATGAAGCACAACATCACAAACACTGTTATTCTTCTAATGACGCTACACAGACGCCTTGGACGGTAGGATTTTATAAAATAAATCTAGCCATCAGCTTCCCCTTGCTACAGACCAAACAGCAGGAGAGGATGGGTAGCGTGACGGTCAAGGTAGCATGGTGGTCATGTGGACACGCTAGAAAGTTGGCTCAAAGGGTAGACATTTGTGTCTGCTTTGTTCCCTGTGGTATCCTAGGGCCTGGAACAGAGCTCTGAGCGAGGCATTATAAGGGAACAGATTAGAGGTGACAGACGGACCATGACATGTAGATCCGGGCATCTTTATCTAAACACTAATGAGACACCTATTAGGCACTTGAGAAACAGATGTTGAATAAATGAATAGTTGGTGCAATTCAACTATTGAGTTGATGATCTCAAAATTCCATAACTAATCAGTTCACTAGTCATAGGCCCCCTCCAAGACCATTTCCTGTAGTTCCGGGCAGGATTGTTGAGAGGACTGATGGAAGGCTTAATGACCAATAAAACAGTAGGTGCTCAAACATGTTAGTGTCTTTTCTTCCTAAGCTCTTCTAGTTTCCTTAAAAACACATCTGAGGCCAGGCACAGTGAATCACACCTGTAATCCCAGCACTTTAGAAGACTAAAAGAAGAGGATCACCAGAGCCCAAAGGTTCGAGACCAGCCTGGGTAACTTGGTGAGACCTCGTCTCTACACTAAATCAGAAAAATTAGCTGGGCATGGCAGCACACATCTGTGGTTCCAGCTGCTTGGGAGGCTGAGGTGGAAGATAATCTGAGCCCAGCAGGTAGAGGCTTCAGTGACCGTGAACATGCCACTGCACTCCAGCCTCGGTGACAGAGTGAGACTCTGATTAAAAAAAAAAAAAGTGGGTGTGGGTGTAGGTGTGGATGTGTCTGCAGACTGGAAGAAATAAATTGTTCATGTTGCTCAGGGTTTCTCAGCCTCCTCACTGAGCCCCTTAAGGCTGGATAATTATTTGCTATGAGGGGCTGGCCTGCACATTGGAGGGTGTTTAAGACCACTCTGCCCTCTACCTACTAGATGCCAGTTTCATTCCCCAGTTGTGGCAACCAAACATATCTCCAGATATTGCCGAAGGTTCCCTGGGAGACAAGATTGCCCCCCTGTTAAGAACAACTGTTGTAGCTCTGATCACTCATTGAATAATTAAATATTTCATTTATAAACAGGTTGTCATATGCTATGTAGACACAGCCTGTGGCCATTATGTTTAAATGTACATAAAGCCAGGACTTCTACAGAAAAAGAAAAACTAGCTAATATCAAATTAAAGCATATAGTCAACCCACAATTATCCATGAAGTGAGAAATGACGTGGATCATAAAAAAAAGTTATTTCAGTCACACGATTTCCCCGCATTAAATTGCTTTTCTAATTATGGTTGGTTTAGGCTAAAAATATGAATCGTAATCAATTTCCTGAACACCCGCTGACAGATGGCAGGGAGAGATGGCAAGGGTGCTTGGAGAGAAATCATTTGAGTTTCTTAAATTTTCATGGACAGTCATAAAGTGGGTACTTCCACCACCAGTGATCAAGCTGCATTGCCCATTAGCAAGCTTAAAAAGTGACAGCAACATTCATACTTACAGGTGAATTAGTGACTTTAGTCCCCGGAAAGTATGTCTTGAAATGGACTTGATGTTGTTGTTTTCTATGAATCTGCAACAGGTTATAATATTTTTTGTCAAACAGTGGCAAGCACTTGCGAGCACTTGTCCTGAATCATCGTGTTAAAAAAAAAAAGGTTTTTCAAACAGCCCCATTAAAAAGTGGGCAAAAGACACGAATAGACATTTCTCAAAAGAAGAGATACAGGCAGCCAACAGACACATGAAGAAATGCTCAGCCTCACTAAGCAACAGAGAAATGCAAATCAAAACCACAGTGAGATACCACCTAACCCCAGTAAGAATGGCCATCATTAATAAAACAAACAACAACAGATGCTGGCGAGGATGTGGAGAAAAAGGAACGCTTCTACACTGTTGGTAGGAATGCAAACTAGTACAACCTCTTTGGAAAACAGTGTGGCGATTTCTGAAAGAACTAGAAATTGACCTTCCATATGACCCAGCAATCCCCCTATAGGGAATATACCCAGAGGACCTCAAACCATTCTACAAAAAAGATACCTGCACACACATGTTTATTGTAGGACTATTCACAATAGCAAAAACATGGAACCAACCGTGCTGCCATTGAAACTGGACTGGATTTTTTTTTAATGTCATACATATACACAATGGAATATTACACACCTATAAAGAAGAACTCACATACGGACTTCGCAGCAACTTGGATGGGTTTAGAGTCTATCATACTGAGTGATCTATCACAGAAACAAAGAACAGAGTACCACATGTTCTCACTCATAAGCAGACCCTGAACATTTACCATAATATTATAAGAAAGGGATTGGCAGTAGTGGGAAATTGCCAGGGGAAGGGGTTGGCACACCTCATCAACAAGGGTACCTGCATAATGAACATTTGTACACCTAACCCTGAATGGTGCCCCACATCTTTAAAATTAAAAATAAAATTTTTTAATTAAAAAAAAGAAAAAAAGTTTTTTTTACTTACAAATACTCTAGATGTGGAAGACCAATAAAAGCATCGTCACTGATCACATCAAAGGAGTTCGATGTGAATAACCTGCCCAGAAAAAGTACACAATGAAAATGGTTACACTGACAGGCTGTCAATCTGCTGCTTTTATCTTTCAGAGAAACGAGTGGGAGTTATATAGAGAGCAATGTCTGGGCGTCTGACCTCTGAAGTGTTATTTATGCAGATAATCTTTGCTGATTTTTTTTTTACTCCTAATCAAATCCTCATCAAATGCTCTTCAAGGGGGTGTTTTGGGTCCCACGCTTCCCAATGATCGTCACATGCCCTGGGTGACATTTTGAGATACAATCACAGTAGGTAGGACAGCTGAAGCAGCCAAATCAACATTTTGCACGTTTTCTCAACAAAGACACGAACAATCTTTTCTGCTTGCTCTAGACACCTCTGGCGAAACCTAGAAATCTTTAGCTGCATGCCTGGTTGTGCTGTGACATCTCATAGCAGATAAGCCATTGATGCTGGCGCAGTGAGCATCGGCCAACTTCCTTCTTTGCAAACAGTCTGAAGATGGGAAATGATGGATCTTGGGCAGAGTCTTAGACCCGTTTTATTAGTGAGTAGTTGAAGAAAACACTTTTCCTTGGACAAATGTATTTGCAATTTCAAAATCCACGGGGATTTGGTTTCGAAATTACTGATGAAAAATCACATCAATCAGTTGTCCCACGCCCTGTGGAACTCCTTGGAGAACTGAATGAGGGACTTAAAAGAGGCACTTTTAGGCCAAATAGCACAATAATATATTATATTATATAATAATAATAATTCTGTTAGTTAATCTTGTGACTTTTACTTTTGAAGTCTAGGGATTAAAAATAACTGCCACTAACCAGCTTAGCGACTTCGCCTCTGAGTCGGCTAACTAAAGGGTTTGAAGCCAGTAGAGTTCACCTTCCGGGTGCTTCAAATAATCAGGGGTGGGGAACCACAGGAGGTTAGAGACGAATTAGCAGGAGTTGATAATTTTTGAAGCTGAAAGATGGGTATATGGGAGTGAATTTTACTATTTTCTCTACTTTAATATCTGCTTGAAATTTTTCATCAAAAGGAGTGGGAGGGGGGAAACCAACCAGCCAAACAAAATGAGACGATGTCTCGCGCATGTCTTCTAAAACTATCAATCCTGGGGTGGTATCGGATTCTCCACTAACCCTTTCTGCCTCTACTGCCAGGGCTTTAGATTTAAGTCATTCACTAGGCTCTGAAAAGCCAGAACTAATGAGTAGTGATACATGTTCGAGCGCCATCGTTATGAAAACAAACTCAAAGTTGTATGGTTCCCATCACAACTTTGGCAATTGTCTCATCTCACTTCATAGTTCTGGAAAACAAAAGGACTGCTCAGCTCTACTCCAAGCTAAGCGAATCTCTCCAGGCTTCCTTAGGCTCCAGACTTTTGTTCCATTCTATACAGACAGAATCGGGGGTAGAGAGAATGGAATAAGACAGAAATAGGTACAAATACCTCCCACACTCTCTGGTTTGCAAACTGTCCCATGGGTGGACCAGCGACTTCATAACCTCATCTTCCAGGTTGCTAGAAGAAATAGCGCCCATGGCTAGTTCTCCCTTATGCAGGACACAGTGAGCAATGGGTATTGATGGGTATTAGTGGACCTGCCTGTGCATGTCAAGGAAAGAAGAGAGAGGATTTCCCTTTTGTCTGCATTGCTTGCCCCTTGCACCTGTGATGGTACCTATCCTACAGTGGACACTGAGTAAATATTTGTTGAATAAAGACAAATTCCCTTTACATTAAATTCCAATCACGGCTAGATTACTGGATTAAATGTTCCTTACAACAGGGACTTACCCTTATTTATTTTTGTGTCCCCAGCCCCGGGCTCCAGCTGAATAATGTTTGTTGAGCTACATTTCAAGGACTAAGACCTCTGGCTACAACTACATGTAAAGATGTGGATGGTTATTCGAGGGAAGGAAGCCAGAATACTATACAGTACATTCTATGTGATTAAAAACCAATCCACACTGGTGGGAGTCAAGATAGGGGATACTCTTGGAGGCAAGTAGGTATGGAAGGAAGCATAAGAGCTGTCCTTGGATCCAGATAATGTTTGGCTTCTTGACCTGGATGCTGGTTACAGGGGTGTTCATTTCATCAAAAAATCATTGAAATGTGCACTTATAATATGTGCACTTTTCTTTATAGATATTATACTTCAATTTAAAAGTTTCTCACAAAAGCTAAAAAAGAAAACCGTCTGGCTAAGATAATAATGAATACCATCATGCCTCAATGCTAAATTCAATTGTAGTTTCTATGGAAAACGATGTGTAAAATTATACATACGTTCTAAATATGGCTGAGTGGGCTATTTGTCTTGTTATCCTGTGCATGCTTCAAAAGACTCCTACCTCATATTCTGCAAAGAGGATGAAACTCTGACCCTTCTTTTTTTTTTTTTGAGCTGGAGTCTCATTCTGTTGCCAAGGCTGGAGTGCAGTGACACGCTCACGGTCACTGCAGCCTTGACCTGTTGGGCTCAGGCGATCCTTCCACCTCAGCCTTCCAAATCGCTGCAACTAGACACATGCCATGATCCTTCATTTTTAGGGATTCCTTTAAATATGTCTGATTTCATGCTTATGATTTGGTATTGAACCAGATATGTTAAAGTGTCTCACCGTCCCTGTCCAGGGAAACTGTGACCATCCCCTCTTAACAAACAACAGACCCAGGCAGCCCAGGGTGGCCGTGTTTTATACTGCATGACCTCTGTCCCTTTCCAAAAGGTGAACTGAACTGAGAGAAGATCCTTCTTGGGGACTTGGAATTGGCAAACTAAGAAATAGAGTCAGCTCACAGAGGAGCTGAAGGCAAAAGGATGCCTTAGGGCTGAGTTGGATCCATGGCAGACAGAGGTGTGTGCAATGCACACTTCAAAGGGTCCAGAATGTGGAGGAGATCTGCTCTGCCCAATCCCCAAGGGAAGTGGTCTGAAGGCTGGTGTGGGGTGATGCCTAGATCTGTGTTAGAGCCTGAGCCAGTGTTTTTCAACCTCGGTTGCTTAGAATCCCCTAGGAAATTTGAACAATACTGCTATCTGGTTGTGCCCACCCTCAGGGATTCTGGTTAAATTCAACACTAGGGTGTCACCTGGAATTTTTTTTTTTTTTTTTTTGAGTTGGAGTCTCACTCCATCGCCCAGGCTGGAGTGCAGTGGCATGTTCACAGCCACCACAGCCTCAATCTGGTGGGCTCAGGTGATCCTTCTGCTTCAGCCTTTCCAAGTAGCCAGAACTACAGGTGCACGCTACCATGTCCGGCTAATTTTGGGATTTACTGTAGAGATGAGGTCTCGCCAAATTGCCCAGGCTGTTCTAGAACCTATGGGCTCAGGCAATCCCCTCACCTGGGCGTCCCAAAGTCCTGGGATTACAGGCTTGAGCTACTGAGCCTGGCACCTGGAATCTTTTAAAACGCCCAGGTGACTCTTCTAAGCAGCCAGGGCTGCACATGGTAGGCTTTTCCAGGACGGTCAAAACACTACCCCTCTTTATCTGTGGTGACCGAGGAGGGAGTCCTTGCAGTGAGTCAGACTAGAGCAATTGCTGTAGCACATGGCAGAGCTGTGGAATTCCCTGTCCTCATAACTACAGATAGCAAGAATCTGCAATAATATGAGTTGGAAGTGATAAACTGTCCTCATGACAGCAGCATCACGGAGGGGGCTGTAGGGACGAAAGCCCCGTTTCAATGACATTGTTACCTCAAGCCACGCCTCAGTGTTTTGGACCCCACAGGCCCGCCAAGCAGCCATCTGTGGGCTTGTGCAGAGGTGGAAGAGAATTTGCCCTCTGCCCTGGTCTCGGGAGAACATCTGAAGTCTGTCCTCTTTGCTTAGAGAGGCATTTTCCTAAAGCCAGGCATTTTCTCCTAGAATTTTGACGGAGGTGGACACAGGGATGTACCCAGCCTGTCTGTACCCTCCCCCGAAGGGCTGCACAGGCATGAATTCAGTAAGTAAAGCGGCTGTGTGGGAGGAGTGGAGAGGGATTTTTTTCTTCTGCAACCCAGGCAGTGTGTTTCCTTACCAGGAGGGAGATTTAGAAAGATCGTACATGTTGGCCAGATGCAGTGGCTCAAGCCTGTACTCCCAGCACTTTGGGAGGCCAAGGCAAGAGGACTGTCTGAGCTCAGGGGTTCAAGACCAGCCTGAGCAACTTGGTGGGACCTTGTCTCTACAATTTTAAGAAAAGCTGGGCATGGTAGTGTGAGTCTGTAGTTCCATCTACTTGGAAGGCTGAGACGGAAGGATCGATGAACCAGCAGGTCGAGGCTGCAGTGGCCGTGAGCGTGCCACTGCACTCCAGCCTGGGCAACAGAGTGAGACTCCAACTCAAAAAAGAAAGAAAGATCAACTGTCAATTCCAAATGGGCTCTGGCTCATTTTTTAAATGATGATCATTGCCTTCACAATACCCTACCTGTCACAGACTCCTGCCTGGATTGTCTTATTCGATCTTTGGAACAACTTTATGAAAATGGGAGAGTAGGATTAATATCTACTTGACAGAGGGGGATACTGAGGCCCAGAAGGCTTCTAAAGGCTTTGCACAAGGTCATGAGGCTCAGGACCCCTGGTCCTTATCACACATCGGGTGGCCTCTCAGCATAGGTCCCAAGTCATAGAATGACATAATGTCCACATTCTGGCAAACAGTCATAGTAATACCACTCAGCTTCATGTGCATTTAAGAAATGTAATTAAATAATAACCCCTTTCTTAAAGGAAATAAGTAATCAAATGTGAGTAGACTCAAAGTCACATCAAGTTTATATCAATCTGGATTTCTACTCCAAGTAAAAAGTTCTAGAATTTTGAATGCACTTTAATGTATTCTGTTTACGAATAATCTATGCCTATAGTAGAAATTCTGGAAAACACAAAAAAGCTTAAATAATAAAATAAACAGCACCACAATCATACTAGCCAACGACACTGATAGGCGTATACTTAATACATATATGATACAAGCATATACAAGTATATATTTATAGA